GCAGAAAACCGGATTCGACACTGGGGCGGCTGGGCTGCGACGAATGAGCGTGAGGCGCAGATTGCCCCTGCTTTGCCACCACGAGGCGCTGATGGGCGTGGGCCAGGGTTCGCCGTTAGAGGACGCCGCCGAAAGACAATTACCCCAATGGGAAAGTCCTCCCGCACTTGCCCACCTGGATAAGGTACCCCGACTGCGACTCGGTCAGCTGGTTGTTCAGGCCGACCACCACGGGGGCCATCCGCTTGCGAAAAGGATGGCAGTTCGCGATTTCGACATCACCCCGACTGCGGAGACGCAAGGCGACCGCCGTTGTGTGCTGGATTCAATTGTCGCTCAGGCGTCCATGGCGGGCGTCCACCAGGGCGTAATCGGTGCTCAGACCCCCGTCTCTTGCGGGGGAGAAACCCTTGGCTTGACAGTCTGTAACGTTAGTGGGTAAGTGGGTGGGGTGGGAGGGGGTTTCAGGATTCTGGTGGAGCGCTTGCTTTAGAGCCACCCTCCAAGCGAATCGCATCGGTACGACGCCCAGTCCGGTGCGCCAAGTGCTTGCGGGAGGCGGACGCGCCCCACCGCGTGCAGGCATGGATGCGTCGGATGCCTCAGCAAGGTCAGTTTTTGCACCGCCTGCCAACTCCAAACCCACCTCCTATCCCCCACTTCGAAGGTCTCGCATGGAGGCACCGTTCCCCGAGCAAGCGTGTTAGCCGATACACCGAGAGCAGCGCAAGAGCACCGGGTTGTTTCCATACGACGTCGCGCATGCGCAGGCCATGGCCTGGCCAGGGCACTAGTGTTGCGGGACGCCCGTGAGCGTTGCTGGCGCCTCACGGCGCTGTGCTGCCCGCGCAGGAGATGCCCCCTCGCAAGATGAGCTTGAAGGCGAGGGTGCAGCACTTCTGCAGCCTTGCCTTCTTGCGCTTGGCCCTTTGCTGCAGAAAACCAGCGCAAGGGCCCCCAGATGGTAAGCAGGCAGCTGCGCGGCAGCCATCTGTCACATTATTTGTCATGCCATATCATGTGTCATAATGATATATCTTTGGCTGCGCCGCTGGCAAGCTTGTTTGGGACGCGGCATGGCTGCATCTTTACATGTACAGGGCAGTCTGCAAGAGAAATGGGGTGTCAGTACATGCAGGGCGTTGCTCTGGTTGGGGTGTGTAAATAATTCAGCTGTCAACGTTGGCCCAGCACACTCAATTTACCATTCCTATTCTTTTGCAGACGCAGACGAGGACGAAGTAGTGGCCAAAGTCAACGCCTGCGTCACCGCTCCCATTGCAAAGACGACACAGAATGAGCCAGTGCGGAAAACCTATAATCCTCCGTTTGAAGTCCTTGGCTTGGAAACGGCGCAAAAGAGCTAGCGACGTCGCTAAAGTCGACTCTGCCCCGGAAACCATTCAAATATTACTATTTAAATTTACTCAATGCTATTTTTAGATTTCTGCAGAATTCCGCATTCGAATGCAGTTTGGCATTCTCATCTGAGAGTCTCCAAGCATCAGAATCAGTTCAGTTGATAGCTCAGATTTGACAAATATTTGTTGACCTGCCGTTGGCACCGATGAAACAATGCACTAATAAGACTGTTGACAAACCAAACTTGTTGCATCAATGTAATATGATGTAAAACATGTTCAGATCAAATCTCATCAAATGTGATTGACGCCATCACGCTATTTTGAGGCATCGCAGTTACCATCATGGCGTCAACTTGTGCGAAAACGGAACCGCAATTGGCATTGCAGACATTGTGTTTACTGCTAGTGTGAGAACCGGAAACTCGATGTACGAAGACACAAAAGCGTTATTGTAGCTAGTGCGAACCCGTGCGCATTGGGCAAAGCAAAGTTACAAATTCGCGGCAGGCCATACACGGATGTGCGCAAATGCAGTGATTGTGCCCACTTTGTCCACACATTCGCGTATGCATATAGACACCCGTCCATCCACACATTCGTACACAGGGCCTCATCACACGCTTCCTAACTGCGCTGATCATGAAATCACTTGAATAATATGGACAACGAAATCAGAGTGTGAAGTAGTGACTTGATATCCATTGGCGTCCGCCACAATCCACAATGATCGTGATGTCCTGCCCTCTACATTCCCATACCTGCACAAAAGAGTGCAAATGTGTCAACAGATCTTTTGACCTCACATGGACATACCAATAGAATATTGGCGAATCAGCAATCTCCTTTTTGAAGCGTGCATTTACGCTGGCTCGGAACTTTGCCATACGAGCATGAACAAACAGATGTAGAACAAGGCACACAATGCATCTTTTCCATCAAGCGGATAGGCGCATTCGTCAAATTCTGCAAGGAAAAGCCAATGATTTTTTTGGATTCCAGAATACTACACCGCACATCATTTTATAGGCACCCTCCCAACCCCCGTCCTGTCAAAATATATGCAGGTGTTTTGCCACCCAATCAGGCTTGGTTTTTACGCCGTAAAAACTGATCGTATTTACGTTTTTACGGTAAAAACAGTTTTTACGTTTTTACGCGTAAAAATGCGTAAAAATACGTAAATACAACGTAAAAACTGCCCGGTGTACATAAGGACAGTACATGCAGACTTGTGGAGTCCGGAGACTGGCAGCCAGATGCCCTGGAAGAGGCAGAACACGAGTTTTTGTTAAACGTCATCATCGCCCTTGCCAAAAGGAAGGTGAACATTGTGCTGCGGGTGCTGGAGATGGCGGATGACTGATCATTGTATGCAACTTTCATCGTGTAATCTGGGTGTCCCTGGGAGCCGTAAAAACGTAAAAATAGCCGTAAAAATAGGTCCTTTTGCAAATTTACGTTTTTACGCGTAAAAACGTAAAAGTAAAAACGTAAACGTAAAACCAAGCCTGCACCCAATGATGGAGCGTAAGATGACGCAAAGCCCTGAAGGTGTTATAATCCAAAAGACTGCTCATTCTCAAGAGTTCACCCCTCCAGGAGGGGGCTGGCAGATCAGCAATCAAAGTAAATCGATTTTTTCTTTTTCCGGTTATCTTATTAGTGACACCAAGCGCATCCCCACGGGTTTTGCAGATCACAACCGATGGAGCGGCTTCTGGGGAAGGGGGGTGGCAGATCCTCGCTGAGCCGGGCGTCCTGTCGGAGGGCGAGGAGCTTGTATCTGGAGACGACATCGATCGGCGGCGCCCAGAGCTTTTGATGCAAGCGGCGAGCACCCTAGCCACCTCGGTGGCTGGGGTCCTTCAGCTGCACCTCCAGGAAGCCTACGGCGCGGCGTGGCCATTCATGGCCTGTGCCAGGCAGCCGTGGACTACCAGCGATATCCTCAAGATGATGTACAGGCAATTTTTTCGATTTTGGACTTGTTTTGTAATTTCGAGGCCACCCTTGTACTTCCAGATCTGTGGAAATTAATCTTGGGCGAAGTATGCCAATACAAATGTGCACGGCAACACATAACATGTGCATAGCATCTACTTGAAATTGTGGAAGCATAGAAATATATAGAAGTAAATAGTTCAATTTGCGAAATTAGCACTTGTACACAATATGAACAGCAATACGTGTACGTGATATGTACATTGTGTACAATATACCCATACATGATCTATCTATACATGTGTCTATACAGATATGCGCATTACCAAGCAAAGGGCAGGTGAGCACAATATCAGAGTAGACTTCGTGTAGCCCTGGCAGTTGTGGGCATTTTGTGGGTAGGATTTTGGACACACTCTTTGAAGCCGCCGTTTTGGATACGGTGTGCCCAGTGTTGTGGAGAATTTGTACGCGGCCGGAGTGCAAATAACAAATGGCCCCCCTGGGCTGGAAAGCAAAAGTTGCCATTGTTCACCTCATGTCAAATTGTTCATGTGCTGCACCGCGCGGGGAACGTGAGCACCTTCCATTTAATAGATCTGTTAAATAGCTGAAGGTAAGAAAACCATCCACACAAAAAACATGCAGCCGGATATCACAATTTTCCTCGAGCTGGGGGAAGAGAGTAAAGTATGGCAGTAGAAAACGCGTGCGTGGCTGTCACTCACGCCCCTTTGCTGCATCACATCGGTCGGGATTGAATGTTCCCGGCGTCTGAGTCATGGTGCACATTCACCCAATCAACTTAATGACCATTCATCCCCCCGTGTTGAAACGCCATATAGTGGGCGGGGAAATGCGACAAAGTTCCAGGGTGTCACCAGTACTAGCACAGCGCCAGTACCTGGCGAAACAGGTCAGGAGCTGGTGGGCATTTGTTGTCATACAATGTTTCAATGTATTAGCTGAGGCAAATATTTAGCTGAACTGGTATGAGTGACTTCTGAATAATGGTCGCATGCTTGCAGGTGAATTTTCAAGTGTTGGAAGAATGTCTCCACACGCATTTTGTCCTTGGATGTGTGTACAGGGTAGGAGCACCGCTCCGTCTTTCGAAGGCAGTTTTGGTTGGAGGGTCTCAACAAGCCAAAATCAGGTCAGAGCAACTCCTCGTAACGTGTCACCACCAGCATGGTGCCTTATCAAGCACCAGCAGAAACCGACACTCTTGCGATGCCAACTGCGACGCCATTTGACGCTATTTGATGCCATCGCACCCACTTCTGTGCCATCGCAATCACTGAGATGGCATCACTTTGTGTCAAAATGGCATCGCAAAGATGGTGTTTTCTGATAGTGAAAGTGCAAGTACAAAGTAAAGGTCACACGCCAGGGGCACGCAACAGTTGCCCCAGTCGCTGTCAAAGCAAAGCACGTCGCGTTGATAATAGTATAAATTATGGGGAGTAGTATTAATGATGGGGAGGTGACAGATCGCCCTGTGGTCGCATCCATTGCGTTGTCGCCATGCGCCTTCGCGGCGCCTAAAGCGCCAAGTCATATCCACTTGATACTTACAACAAAGTGGTGACAGATTGCCTAGTGTCACATCCAGTACATTGAGGCCATGCGCCCTCGCGTCTTAAGACGCCTCGGGACGACGCCCTCTCGCCGCCAGTGCCCCTCCCACCCACAATGGCCCCTACTTGCTCGCTGCTCGCTCTGTCGATCCTCCTGGCCGCATGGGGGCCCTTGCTCCAGCCTGCCTCCGCGCAGCCCATCCTCGAGGAGATCAAGTCCCAGGCCTTCGTTGATGCCGCCCCCGTGGTGCCCCCGCCCATGATCCAGGGCGGCGCGTGGATCGACGTGGACGGCGACGGCGATCTGGACTTCGTGCTGCCCGGCGATCCCGCCAAGGGCGTCCACCTGCAGTGGGTGGAGAACATCGACGGGCAGACGTTCCAGACGGCGGCGCTGGATTTGATGGTGGAGGACCTGCCGGGGCCGTCGGTGAGTTGGGCGCGAAATGGGCGTGGCGCCAATCTACTATCGACGCGACGTCTGTTGTGGCCATGATCTAGCGGCGCGGGCGCGAGGGATCAGGCCAGAGGCCGAAGGAGAGAACACGCATTTGTTCGAGTGACTCGAGCGAACGGACTGTGATGTCCGCTTGGCGACATAGGCTGCGCAGCCTCCCATGTGGGAGACTGGTTTGGTTGGATCACTTGTGGGGGTTTGTGGAGAAGATCCTGGAAAGGGATGCCTGGGGACGTCGGCGAAGGGAGCAGCCGCGCAGCCGCATTCGCATTCGGACCCGGGCCGCCGCAAAGGCCAATCTAGATCTCAGTTCGGTCGCAAATCTAAAACTGATAGTCCCACCGATCGGCGAGCCCAGTCTGCGGACGGACCGCTCGCAGGGGCCTCCTTTCAATCCGTCACAGGCTGCAGGTCCCAGCTCCAAATTCAATGCCCTCTGCGGCAGATGGCGCCTCCGAATTTGCAAAACACAGACACGCCTCCTCCCCTCTGCCCACGTGCGCAGCCGAGTCGAACCGCCGTACGGCGTGGCGCGCAAGGGGATCGCAGTGCCATCTGCCATTGCTGGGGCTGCCCGGAGCCCACGCGATTGTCGAGATCTCTACCAGCGGTGGCAAACGGCGCGCCTGCACTGCAGGCGGCCTCCCCGGTTGTCCTGTCGCCAGACGAGTCTGGCAGCGATCAGCCGAGCGTGGGCGGGACCACGTTGCTCCACCCAACTCCGGCGCATCAGTCGCCGAAGTTGACCTTATCTGCACTTATCCCGACACGTGGCGGCGCGTCCCCCACTTGGCTCTTACCACGTCGCCGCAGCCGCTGATCGAGCTGATTGCCCACGTTGGCATGTGGATAACGGTGTGGCGCGAGAATCCTGACGCAGGATTTGCTTGTCATGCGATCGCCCTGTACTGCAGTACGGAAACCCGGGCGCGAGGTACAAGCATCACTGCCTTACACAACCGATTTGAGCGGTGACATGCATGGGCTCGGCTCCACACGCGGCAAGGCATCGCCCACGTAGCAACCTTGATGCTGTATTGGACATTATTGTTGCAGTCTTAGTAGGCGGGGATAGGTCGACGACTGGTAGTCTGGAACGAGCTGGAGGCAACGGAGTTGCAGATAGATTCCAAACATCGATGTCCCCTTGCGGACCAGGCCATCCATTCAGTCCATGTCCCATCAGCGGCGGAGCGACTGATTGCTGATTGGTGTCGAGCTTGGCCGTGTCAGACAACAGCTTCGATATTTGCATGACCGACCGTTTACACGGATGTGCTGCTCACAGAAACTGGGCGACCGCCCCCAAGTCCTTGCGGCTGACCTCAACAACGACGGACTGACTGACCTGTACATAAGTGGGTGCATGAATCCGCTGCCGCTGACCACCCTAACGATTGTGGAGGAAGATTTCGAGCCCGGGGAGTGCTCGACGGCCATCCTCTTTGAGAACTTGGGCGGTGGGAAATTTAGAGCACACGAGGACAACGGCATTCAGCCCGCGCTCATCGGAACCGGAACGGCAGCGGGAGATGCAAACAACGACGGGCTTTTGGACCTGTACATATCGGATGCACGGCTGATTGCTGTCACCGAGAATCCGAGTGACACATACGGCAACAAGCTCTATATTAACAAGGTGAGGGATGCTACGTCTTGGTACCAAGTGAGTGCGTTTGAGGAATTCGAATGATTGCATCGCCCCACATCTCCAATAATGCGCAAGGCACCTAGTTATAATTGGATGACTGAAAAGGAAACGGCGTCATGCGTCACATGCAATGAGGCATTGTGCTACCCAAATTGGGCGCCCGTGGTGATGTCCTGAGCACAACACAGGAACTTTAGCCTGGAGATTGTTGGGTACCACAATATACGAACAAATAGCAATGAAGTTGCTGCGCCGCATTCGAAGTGCGCGGATGAAGAGGTTGTGAGATTGCTTGCTCCCGCAGCTCGGTGGAGTACAGGCTTGGAAACGGCACCCATTGACAGCATTGCATATGGCCCTCAAACTTTATCCTAGGAACACCACGAGTTACCCTTACTTACTGGCAGAAAACATCATGTTGCGACGCCAACTGCGATGCCATTTTGGCCCTAGCCAGCGCCATCACAGTGACTGCAATGGCGTATAAGTGGCAGCGATGGCGTCCGCTGACGTCAAATGGTATCGCAATTGGCATCCAAGAATGGCGCTTTCATTAATGTCGCCGTTGGGCAACTTCCACCGTCGCTCAAAATTCGATTGCCTTGGTCGCGACAGGGCAACTTCCGGTTCGAGGATTCCGGCCTGTCCGTGGACAACCCCTGGTCGTGCGTCTCGGCCTTCGTCGACTTCGACTACGACGGCGACCAGGACATCGTCACGGGCGCCTGCCAGCGGACAACCGTGGTCGGTGGCCCCAACAGCACGCTGCCCTCGAAAACCCCGCAGCTCGCACCCATCCCCACCCCGCTCCTCCTCCTCAAAAACACGCTCAAGGAAAATGGCACCCTGGGCTTCGAGGACGTCACTGAGGAGCTGTTCGGCAAGGTGTACGACGGGCTGTGGATGTCCGTGGTCCTCGGGGACATCAACTACGACGGCAGGGTCGATTTTTACATCGGAAATTGGGGCCTGGAGGGGGACCCCACCGGGCGCGGCATACCGCAGCCCCACCTGCTGATGGTCAGCCAGCCAGGGGGGACCTGGGCGGACGAGGCGGCGGAGAGGGGCGTGGCGGATCACGCCTTCAACTGGGGCGGCGCCTTCATCGACCTGAACAACGACGGCCACCTGGACTTAGTGACCGTGGGATCCGCCGTGCTGCCCACCTCCGTGCTCAGCAACAACGGCACGGTGTTCATCAACGACGGCACGGGCAACTTCAGCCGCGCGCCCGACTTGGGAGTGGCGGAGATCGTCAACGGCGGCATATCGGCCGGGGACTTCAACGGCGACGGCAGCCAGGACATCATGGTCGTGGGCCAGGCGCGGAACCCGCTCATTCCGGAGGGCCTGTTCAACGACACCGGCCGCCTGACGCTGTTCAAGGGCACGGCACCCGGCGAGCGGCACGTGGCGTTTGTCCTGGAGGGGGTGGAGAGCAACAGGGCGGGCATAGGGGCGTTTGCCACGGTGTGCCCCTCGGCCGACGTCTTTGGGCCCCCATCGTCGCCCGACGTGCTGTGCCAGCACCGGGTGCTGACGGCGGGATCCGGCGCCTACTCGACGCACAGCCCGGTCTTCCACTTCGGCGTGCCCTCCGGCATGGATGCGGTGGACGTGACGCTGGTGTGGCCGTCGGGCGCGGAGGACGTGCACCCCGGGGTGGAGGTGGGGTATCGGTACATGCTGAAGGAGGGGGGCGAAATGGCGAGGGCCTAAGGGAACTGGCTTGGGTTTTGCATTTGTGAGGCGGCGCCGGTAATGAGAGTAGGTTGCCCTCTTGTTTTGTTTCTTTGGCTGAAAACGCTGTTTTTAGTAACTTTTTGGGGTTTGGGGGTAGCCATGAACAGTCAATGTTGTACTTAGTGTTTCGCCACTAGTGGTGAAAGGGCAGGAGTGATTCGATGCTGCAAGAGATGACACTCTTTGTGGAGGAGAATGGACGAGGATGAGGTTATTGCTGTGTGATATATAAGGAAAACAGAAGGGCGAACATGTCAAACCATGCGCGTGGAACCAAATGAATTATAGTGTATTCTAGGGAGGACAGTTTGGGCATCAGACATAGTCATCATCCTTCAGGGCTCCACTGAAATTTCCAGTTGATATATCGCTATGTTGCCAATTGGTGATTTGCTTGCGTTAATATGGAGCCGTTGTAAAAATGGCTGGATTCTCTTGACGAATGAAATTTCCAACATTGCATCAGGCTCAAAGAGAGCAACCACACCTAATAACGTTGCCTGCCTACCTCAACTCGTTCAATTGAGAAAAATAATCCGTCGTCTCCAGGGATGTGGGAATGGACATTATGAGCATATTTACACCCGTGGTCTTATAGACAGCCGTTCGCTTGCTGCGCTGCACTGAGTAGAATGCTGCGCACACATAGTGAATCCGCTCGACCGTGTCCACTGCGTTGCTGAAATGTATATGCCTGCCTGAGTGCTCGACCTTCTCGCTCCTTACCACGTGTCCTTGCACAAGTGTTTATCTAGTCAAAAGTTTCAACATGCTGTTGAACAGCGGCGCACTCGTGCAAGACACGTTCATTCGGCGATCTGAGGAGTTTGCAGCCGCACTGGCGAAGTTGTCAACCCCTGCCAAAGTTGCTGCAGCCTTAATGGCTATTATTTGTAATTTTTTTAATTATTCAATTTTTCACTTTTATTTAGTTATTATTTTTATCATTGTTACTTATCATAATTGCAGTCGTAATGGCAGCTGGGTATTAGTCATGTTGTCGATCCAATCGCTAGCCACAACGTTGACGTTGCTGCTGCTGGAACTGGAAGAAATCTTTGTGAATAAATCATTTGCGTTCGTTGCGTTGCCCACGATGCAGCCGTGTTAATGACAGACACAATGGAACAGAAAGACCAGTGAATGCGAAATTTCATCAACAGAAGTATTCCAGTTTGAGGCGGATTGTCGGCTGCTCGCCCTCTTTCAAGGGAATGGACACTGTGGAAATCCAAAACGCTAAGGCAGGGCGGCACTGTGGCGCACCCTCCAGGCGAACGTATCGAAGAAAGATGTAACAACAGTCCAGAACAAAGTACTGGGCGAACGTGCGACCGGTTGCCATGCTGTGCTGTTAGATTGTCGTTGCTCGTCCGGGAAGGTGAGCTGTAGGCTGCTCGGTACGCTCAAACGTCCACCTGTTAAGGCAAAGCGAATGTGCCGCATTACCCAAATTGTCATGGTTGGCAATGTCATATCCTGGGCAGACAAGGTGCAGCAAACATGCACTGATAAATCGGTTCTGACGTCATGTCAGAACACCCGGAGTGCGCGCGGGACAAAGTCGTCGATCTCGCCCTTCGCACGCTTGGCTCAACCAACAGAGAGCCGCAGAACATTTCTTCAATCGGTGCTCACGATTCTGCGTCGATGGGCTGGTCACCAAGACGTCCTGAATCGCGAATCTCAATCAGAATCCTGAATTGAATGCTCTTCTGAAATCAGAAATCTGCATTCGAATGCAACTGTTTGGGCAGCCAATCCGAGGGTGGGCACCACAACGAAGGTACGCTAAGATACCAGCAGGGAAATTCGCTGGGAAGTTGGGCATGCAAAACGCACGCCAGATCCCAGCCGCAATCAGTCGCCACGCACGACGACCCGCTGCACGATAGCGGCCAGGCCAAGCGATTGGCCTCGTCACTTTGGGAAGATCCCTGGGGTCCTTTGCTCGCAGAAACTCGCAACCAAAGAGTCGTTACAGCCGTTCAGCACCGCCTCCTTGTCCGCACACCAGTGCTCATGCATTACCGCGAACCTCGATCGAGGCGGCTCCAAAGGAGCCACAGCGCTTCAGATATGAATATGTCTAACATTGGACACCGTAAGATCACCAATGAATTCACCAAAGGTCACATCTAGTCGTCTGGAATCTCAACCACACATGTTCCATTGCTATTACAAATCCATTACCGTCAACCGTTACGGCCCCCCTTGCTATATCATTACTTAAAAATTTCTCACTGCCAGCGACATCACTTACCGATTATTCGCAGCCCCTATAGTCATTTTCTATGCCTTACATAACTTTCTTTTTGAGCCTCCCGAAATGATCTCGTGCTGGCTGCCTCTTAAGACTGGCTGTATTGCCTTTGACTAAACCATGAAGCAGTCATTAACAAAAATCACATTCATCATCAAGCCCACGCAGCCCATATGAATTGTTTTAGATTGCTTGCATTACATATTCATGAGGCGTTGCCAAATGTTTATTGACCTTCTGAATTGTCTTTTCAATCAGCACGTTCGAATTCTCTTTGTGGTATAAACTATAGGGGGCAGTTAATTCTTCTCTAAAAGGGATCTGGGAATTGAAATGTATAGAGATTAAGGTAACTCATAGGAAAACAGACTTTGTTAGGAGTCCATAGGTTATTGACCAACCCCAATTCTATTGGCGGCTGAGGAGATATGGTTATTTGAATATCTAGTACTTTACGGCCATCCCCTAGAGGGTATTGGGTGATGAGATACAATCGCTGGACATGATACGATTTTTGACACTGCATTGTCACGTGACTCGTGCCAGTGGCCGCCCCAAAAGCGTGACCACCTGATGTTGTACTATACCCGTTTGATTCCCAAGCCTTGTGCAGCGTGAGTCGTGCCTCCTAGTGGCTATACCCATGAGCTGCACGGCGTCGTGCACCCACCGTGTGCACAGCTGCCTCGCGCCCAGCTATCCACTGCGACCTGGGCACACACTGCACATCCAAATAAATGAGCACCCCAGAAAGCCCGCCAGCCATCCAGCGGAGGAGGCCCCCGGGTCTCATTGGGCGCCTCGGCAGGCGCCATCACCCGCATTCAACTAAAAACCATGCCACTCTTACTAGAACCTAATCCAACAATGTTTCTTCATGTCATGTCACTCAGTTCATGTCATTTTTATTAACACTTCAATGAATCCTTGCAAAATACACTCATGACTCAAAAACAGCACAATACCATTCAAACCCATCACTAGCCCCAACCCCATGGCACCAGCCCTCACGCACCTCAGGGCGTCTCCAGATAGGTTTATACTTTTGTCCACCTAGGGCTCAAAGCCACCTTGAAGCCAATCTCGCACAGCCAATCTGGTTGGTTCATCATGCTCCCAATTTTCGACCGCTGGCGTCCATTTGAAGTGGTCCTCTTGGGCTTGAATCCCCTCCAAGTCATCCCTCTCGCTCTCACAGCTGACATCGTGGTCTTCCAATTGCTTTAGCCTCTTACTGATGGCGCCCAAAGGCATGAACTTCTATATGCAATCCTTGAGACATGCATCCTTTCGATCTCAAAAATACTCTTTGGTGACTTCATCTTCGAGCTTGCGTTTCTTCTCACAAGCTAGCAGCACTGCTTGTTTGGGCACTGACGGACTCTGGGTGACCGAATCCTTGCAGTTTGCATCAAGTTGGCTTCGAAGCCCTCCACAACAATTCCAGCAATATTGTAGCCATGTCTTTCGCTTGATATGCTGGCAGCTCAATGTCGTCATCCTGAATGCCTTCCATTCCAACAAAGGATTGCCTCAGCTGTGCCTTGAGAGTTTTAGCTGCCACTTCAATTGCTTCATCCCTCGCCTCAACCTTCGCCCGTTCGACTAAGCATGCATCATCATGCGCTTCGTACAACCCGCACTTCATCCCAGACCTTCAGCCCTTGCCTCACAATGTACTCATCTCCGACTGGGAGGTGCTTTCTGCACATCATGATCGTTCTCAGGTGGGCGATCTTGGCGTTGAGGTCGTCAATCCTGGATAAGCCTTTGCGACTCTTCCTAGCAGCCACATTGGCTGCCAAAGAGGATTCTGAGCTGTCCCAAATCAACATCTTAGGGTTCGCCGAGGCTGGCGCATGTACACCGGGCCTGATCCCTCATGCGACTGAGACATGCCCCAGATGCACCGAGCCCTTGTGATTCCACGAATCCTCATTACTTCCTCGTCAATGGACCAAATCGCATCAAACTTGACCAACTGTGAATAGACTAATCCCATTTCATGATGGAATAGGTCCCCCGTCCAAAGCCCCATCGAGCTGTCTCGACCAGCTCATTGTGGATCACAGAAATTGACCAAAACCGCTCTATCTTGGTCCCTAGGGCCCGGATCGAACTGAGATTTTCAGAAGAATCTTCTCCAAAAATGCTTCGATTGGCTTGCAGAAACGTCAGACACACTGCATTTTGTCGGCTGATCATATTGATTCCTCGGGGTCCCAAAGATGGTCAGAATTGACGAACCTATCGACCTGGGCAAACATCTTGGTAGCCCGGCCATTTTCCCACCGTATTCTGCGCTCCTAGTGGCTCTTAGGGGCCCACAGTGCGCCACAGGGGCCCGATACAGGGTGGTGGCATGATAGATACGCTCCACCGTAGGCAATACGCTGCGCATCCCCACGAAAGCCCACACGCACCATGTGTTTTAGCATGTCGCCCATGGTGACGACCCGAACAGCGCTCTCTTAGTCCTAACCGCCCACCCCGTTTTCTGCTGGCAGAATGGCAGCGCTTCGACCCCTCTGCAACCTTGCTGGGTTATTTTTCTTGCAAACTTCCGGAATCGGGATCGCGGCCTCTGCCGATGGGGCCCCCCGTGTGGCCCATTGGTCACGGATGGTCAACGCGGATGGATGGTTGCACTCCGTCCCGATGGATCCGCGTGGAAATGCTCCGCAGGCAGTCCTGTGGCCTTAGACCTGGTTGGGGTGCACTCGCGCAGCCTCCTGGTTCATGCGGGTCCGTGTGGAGAGGGATGGCACGGATTCGCCATACTCCACACAGTCAGACGGGTCCTAGATCATGTCGTGGTGGCATAGGCGTTTCGATTCATGGCATTTCCATACGCGCATCCGCGGAGCGACTGCAGATCGTCGATGTGCAGCTCCTGTAGCTTCCGGAGTCCATTGCTGATGTCTCTGAGAAGCTTGGCTTGGCTTCCATGACGATCTTTGCGATTGTGGCTGCCAGCTGTCCTGCTCTTGCTCGCTGCACGGGGCGCTTTCTTACCATATTCAGTAACCAATGCACGTGTGTTTTGAGCCTTATTACTGACTCCCAAGGTGGCACTGCGAACAGCACTGAGAATGCTCAGGCCCGGGAGCAGCGAAGCCTGCATTGGATCTTATAAACAGAGGTAGAAGCAGTGTTCCAATGAAATTTACTCACTGAACACTTCCGATGCCTACGAGCCTCAACAACAGGACATTCGGGTCCCAGCATCCAAAAGCACCCGCCCGCAGTGGCAGCAGGAAGCCATACTGTCAAGGACATTGTCAAGCCTGGCATCTAGCTAGGTACTGAAATGCGTCCGTTTGGTCCCCTTGTGACCTGTTTGCACTACGGATGCCGGATAGCAATTCAACTATGTTTACCACATCAGCCGTTGCGAAACATGACAATCCTATGCCTGGGAGAACGTCCAACGCGTGCCGTCGGTCTACCTAAGGCGTCAGCAAATCGGCAATTCCTTGTGGTTTCTGCAGATGCCAACCGAAGGCGATGCTTGCAATTTCTTCACTTCCACAGCAGGCAGCCGTTAAGTACCACGCAAAATCCTATTCGCAACCCCATGCAGATTTAACCACACCAAGCTCCAAACTGTGGCCATCCAAGATCGATTTTCCAACACAACTTGCTCCTTTTCTACTGTTTAGTGCCCCTTCTATATGTTTCCACTCTCCTCCGACCCAACGCCACCTTGTGCAGGCACATCCTGACATCGACATACCACATTCCTTGTCCACCGTCCGACCTTCACTCAGTACAGCATTGGCCCCACACTGCAAGTTTCTATCCCCAACAAATTACGCCCCTGGAGTCGCATACTAGGCACGAAACAAAATACTGTTGGTGTTGTGGTACTGCACACCAAGCAAAAATACATCTATCATCATCCAGTTCTGGTCCACCGGATGCTGGCCCCTATCAGGTGCTCGACAGATCAACTAAGAAGCTATCCAGAATTCGCCCCAGCCAACGCCCTCAAAGTGGGCAGCTAACCACCCATCCCAAATTGGCCTCCTACCCCCATGTTTCCATGCCTCAGCACAACACATTCACTGGATGTGACTTGAAAAGTCGCGGTGCCGAGCTGCCTGCGCTCGAGCGCAAGGGAAGGCCACACTCTTACAAGAAGACCGACCCTAATTTTCCCCACCCTGCAACAATTTGGAGAGGCACGCGGCCACCTGGGCACCAATCGCAGCGTTGTTGTTGATGACGGCGACATTGGCATCCAGGGCGTCGCCCTCACTCCGTTCGCGAATCTGCTCGAGCAGAAAGGGCGTCACCTTGCACCGTTCGACGTTCTTCTCCTCGCATTGCTGCAGGGCCTCCCGGACGACCTGTTCGACGCACTCCCCTGCCGAGGCGCCCTCCTCTGGAATTGGCACACCTGAAAGGAGAATTTGAAAGCCCCGTTTCACAATAAAGCACGAACTGGAACTTTCTGGGGGGTGAGGGAGTTTTCCACTAAATTGAGGTCCTTTTTATGCAAAGGATTCGACTTTACAAGCCATGCCCCATCCGTGGAATGGCCAGACTATTTGTACCACTTCTTCTCAACCACTGAAGGCAACCAATGTATGATAGCCCGGTTTCTGGGAGATGGAGAGCACAAGCATCGATTTTTGTCTAACAATTTGCTGTGTCGATTTTCTGTATCGATTCTCCGCTGCCTGCAGCACACAGCCAATGCTCCCGTGCTCACGCAAAGTGGTGATTGCAAGAACCAAAAGTGTTAGAAACACTGGTGCTTATGTTACCGGTGGTGGGTAAAAAGCCCCTGCAGCATGAGCATTCGCAGCCTTTCGCAGCGCAATCCAGGCTGTTGTGGAAAACCTATGGCAGTGCTGTTCCTCCAGCGTGGACCATACATAGGCATAAAGAAATTGACTCAAGATGGCACAGAACTCAAGGCACTGATGATAAGACCATGTTCCACAGAGTTAACGAAATGCCTTACTAAACAACAGAGGCAATTTGTGCCATCTGGTACGGATAAGAAGCAGTACAAATCAACACCGCAGGGATATGTTTCCGCTTGTAAAACACTGTGCACTGGAACAGGAAAAAGGTCATCCACAGGATGACAGGTGACCAAAATTTCTCCACATCCAAGATATCGGCTGTCCATATCCTGAACATGCATGCCTTCAACCATGTCTTCTTCCATGTCCAGAACATGAAACTTCTTGCACAACAATATGTGATGCAAACAGGAAATGCACCTTGCACTGCATTCCGTCTCCATGATGCGCAAAAGTTTTACAGCTAAACATCCAATTCTGTGCAAGGAATATTTATGATGGCAATTCTCTGGATCAGCAATGGACCAAGGTTCCCAGCCTGTTTCCATGCCGTCCTGCCTAATTGGTCCTTTCAATACCACCTTCAACCGTGTCACACAAAGCAAACCGATTAGAACATCTCTGACCGCCAGCATGCCAAATACATGCTCTGCAGGAACGCATGTACATCATACTCAGTTGTACCAGCTTCTTCTACTGAAGTCATAAACTGCGAAAGACTTGTCCTCAAACACGTGCAAGACAGCAGGGCTTTAATCATCCATGGCCCTCACCAAGCACGACGCCACTCCCAAGGCCCAGACGCAGAGAAGCGTGCATTAGGGCAGCTGCCTCCTCAGGCGTGTCCACCCTCGCTGGCGCCCTGCAGCCACTGCTGGGAGTGAAAAAGGCAGGAAAGTCGTCTGACCCATAGGCCGCCACACAAATGCCTTGTGTCTCAAGATACTCCAGGGTCCTCGGGATGTCCAGGATGGACTGTGCGCCCGCGCATACCACCAGTACTGGCACCCGGCCCACCACATTGACGTCTTGTGACAACAGGCAAGTCTTGCAGTCAGTTCCTCTGTGGGCAAAAGCAGTTGACTATGGACAGGGCTTCTGTCCAGCAATCCCAGCCACACTGAAAGGCGTGGGAGAGGAGCAGCACCCCGTCATGTACATGTGTGGCCCCAAAAAGTCTTCACGATTGTGCAACAGCAGTACATTTTGCCTGTCGTTTGGTATGATATTCGGTGAATCCAAAGTTGTAAATGAAAAGAGTGCTTGGTAGTTTTCAATCACCCAATTCTGGTCAATGAACAGGTCAGCTGCTGATTGGTATGGCTGGTGCAACAAGACTTGGGTAGTCAATTTCAGCAGAGCGAAAGGGCATCTGCAAAAGAAAATAGTTCATGTTGCTTTCAAGGTATGGAGTAGGAGTTTAAGAATGGTGGGCCATCTCTTGCTCATTTATGCCAATCCCAATGAATATGAGGGGATGTATGTGACACTCACAATTTGGTGCAACAGAGCTAGCGAGGATTAAAACAGGTTGGCATACTTCCTCCAAAGAGAGACAGGCTGTGGTGGCCGCTGATGCTGATAAGTGCAGACCCAAATGCCCTTGCACTGCCCATTTTTGTTAGGTCCTTGTTTCCGCCAACCTCATGTTGGACTTCCAAGACCTGTCATGCATGTGATGTACGACTCAACTCCAGCAAATACATTCCTCTTATCCTCATCCCACAGACGCAACTTCATCAGCATAGGCTAACCTTACTCACTGGCTGTCTTAATGGATGAAACGATCTTTCTTGTCATGGACACAGGTGTATCTTGGACTTTCACCTTTTCCATTACTTTGATCATCATTTGTGTTTCAGACAGCAGGCGAACAGAAACAAGCAAAACATGAATGGATGACAGACAGGAACCAAAAACTGTTGTTGGACGTACAAACGCCCAACATCACCTGCAAGATGCAAAGGGCCCATATCGTCTTTCCAACGCTCTACCAAACAAAAGAATTTAGCCCTGCAACTGGGCAAGTGAGCACGGCTGTCTGCTCACCCTGACCTGAACCATTCCACTCAAGGCGCCCGCCACAGAATTGGAGGCAGGCATGTCTTCCAACCCAAGCTGTGGTATATAAGACACCCCAATGGCTTCAAAACCACCACAGCTGTTGTCCACACAACGCACATGGTTCTATGTGCGAAGAGGTCTGTGGATATGGGACAGAAGCGTTTTCGACCGTGAGAGTTACTTCAAGTCCGCCGAGAAATCGGATGCAAGGCGAGGGTCCTTGTTTGAGGATGCCAGACAGGACGCCTGACGGGGGCAGTTCCTCGCATCCTCTGCTCCCCGCGCCCGCAGCGCCAACAAACTCTCCGCTCACCAGCGCTTCCAGCATCCGCGTCCAGGGACGCCGTCGAGCCCAGCTCTCCAGCGCTGGCCCGCGGTGCAGTGCACAGCGCTTTCATCCATTCCGATTTCGCGCCGACGTCGCAGATCGCAACGAAACAGGCGCCAACACGGCCATCGACACAGAAGCCGTGCCTGCAGCCCCCTCTAGCCCCCTCTTTAGCCCCGAGGCGCACGCACAGTCGATCCCGAAACATTCACCCGGCACCAATTTCAGCCGCTGGCCGGTCCCATTGACAATCCCTCGTCGCGGGAGCCGGATGCCGCCTGTGCGGCGACACAGACCTCCAATGCATCAGCCGGCCAGCGGCTTTCAGCCGAGAAACGCTCGCACCGGCCTACCCACGGCACCCTGCAGCGCCAGGCGCACGCCGGCCCCACTCCGGCATCCGACATGATTGCCTCCGGGGTATTATTGCATTTGGCCCGCTGGCTCCGCAAAAACGCCGGCCGCGCGGATCCTCAGCCCTCCCCTTCCCCCCCCCCGACACACCGTCGCTGCTCCCTGGAGACGCGACGAGCGCACGTTGCCATCAATCCGCCACACTCCCGCCCACCTCCACACTCTGCGCGCATTGCGGGCGCACGGCGACCGGATAAAACGAACTGACGAGATGCAGAAAAGCTTGCTTGGGTGCATGCACGCCACACACACACGCCTGTAAGACGCGGCAGCGCTGCTCTATCTTTCGAAGGCGAATTTTGGCAGAGTCATTTCGGCGCCCCCACCCGCCCAGGCGCATCTAGGCGCGTTGCGGGCGGATGGCGAGCGGATACAACGCACGAGCCACACACAACGTCTTTGGATGTATACCAACCCCCCATCCCCACCCCATACATGCCCGCAAGGCGCGATGGCGCGGCTCTGCCATTCAAAGCCGAATTCCGGCGTTTCGCCCGCCCACCTGCCGACACGTCCATTGACGCCTCGCCCCCCCGGCCCACGCCGCCTATGCCGCCTGTCACGAACACACGTATCCCCGCAGTGGCCGCTAGGAACGCCGTGGCCGCCACCGTGGTCGCCCCGTCGCTGCCCTTGGCCATCGCCGCGGGCAAATCCCTCAGGGACGTCTTCCTCACGGATTGCCCCTTCGCCGCCAGCGCCTCCAGTTCGACTTGTGTCAATCCCGCCCGCGGCTGCCCGCCGACGATCGCCACCGTCGCCGGCACGGCGCCGTGGCTGCGGACGACCTCTTCGACCTGAAGCGCCGTGGCGAGGTTCTGCGGGTAGGGCAAGACGTGCGTGATCATCGTCGAGTCAAGGGCCACCACGGGCGCGCCGGATGCCAGAGCATCCCGGACTTCGTCGGTCAGCACCACGCGAGGGGCCATGGACCGATCAGGCGGGGGAGGAGGGGAGGGGGCGCACAGTCGGGGGGTGCCGCGTGCAACGGCCTGGGGCCAGGGCCAGGGCCAGGGACCTGGGCTGGCTGAGTGCAAGTACTGGCCACAGTGTTCCTGTGGGGGAGGATGTTGACAGAAACTTGGTGTCGGGGCTCGTCGAAGGCCTGTCACGTGGGTTGAAGAGGCGGCCGAGGGTCGACTGAGTGGGATCGAGCAGTGGCCGATTTTGAAGCAATCGAGGTGAAAGGCAGGAATTGGACCTGAGCTGGGGTTTTCGAAAGCGGAAAGGACCCCACTGAGCGGCATTCTTAACATGATTAACGGAGGTTAATGAGCGCGGACGCGCCAGGACCGCGTCTGATGGGTTAAAGTGCACAGCACGGAGACCGAAGCTATCGCTCCTCGCGTCAAGCGCTGCGGGCCATAACCTAGCGCGACCGTCGCCGCCAGCCTGCTGCGGAAGCAAGCGCAAAGGATGGTAAGCACGGCGGCGGGGAGAGCGAGCCGCGCTAGCAGGAAGCGGGGAGAATTTTGCGACCAACCCTCTCGCATCGCGGCTCGCCCACGGGCAGCCCCGGCGCACCGCGGTCTGCCCGCACGTTGGGTTCGCAACAAATCGCCGGGAGCGCCCCGTCCTCCTGTGGCGTTTGCGCGGCGCTCGGGCCGCGCCCTTCGTTTCCGCGACCGCGGCACGTTGCGCGCTCAGCCGGCGCGCATACCGGTCGGGCGCGGACCACCTCCGCCATTGGCGGCGCCTAGTTTCTCTCCGGCTACGCTCATCGCGCACGGGCCGGCTCAGCCCGCCCACCGACACGCCGGTCAAGAGCGCCCGCGCACGGCGGAGCCCTGTGACGGTGAACACCCGCCTCGGGTGACAACTCCGGTGTCGCGCCTCAGCGCCCCGCTCATCGCGGGGGCGATCGCGCAGCGCACATGGCGCTCTGACAGCTCACGGCGGTCCCCCTTCTCAGGCGGATCACTTTGACCCCCACATGGAGGAGTTGGACTACGATGAGGCTTCCCCACGGGGGCCGGGCGCGACGCCCGAGCCCCTGGAGGAAGCGGCCGAATGGGAGCACGTCCCTGCGGAGATCGTTGACCAGCCCTCAGCGGGCGAGAGACCAAGCTCATGGGTGGAGCATGCCCAGCCGGAGGGACAGATAGAGCGCACGGGCGCCAACCTGACCGTCCCGCGTAGTGGCAGGTAAGCCTCAACGGCGTGGCAATGCGCGGCAGCCTCATCGACTCCAGCATTTTTGCCAAGCGCCGCCGCCGCTCGGATCTCGATCAATCCGTGCCCGAGCCAGCGCGTGCCTCTGGGCTGCGAGCCCTTCGCTTAGCGCGGACGCCGCTCACCTTCCACCGCTCGCTTGCACTACGGTCGTGGGTTTCCATGGCAGGCGAGCTTCGGCGCCACACGGCCTCGCGTTAGGGGCGTACTCCAAGGGGGCTCGAGTATTCGACGGTGTCAGGATCCCGCACCCTCTTTTGTCACCTCGTTCGCGGGGTACATGAACGTATCGCGCCGGCTGCGGTCACCCCGCACGGTGACGTCACGCCCGGTCTCCAGTGCCATCTCTCGTCACACAGGTGGCGCCATGGCGGAGGCCAGCTCTCTGCCCCAGAAGGACCCGACGCCGCGACGGCCGAGTTTCCGCTCCGATTCCATGACATCGAGCAGGAGTTCTCAGTGGCCGACACTCTCTTAGAGGTCGCCACCGCGCGCCACCTTGGGCCGCCGCCGCGACCGCTGCATCTGCTCACCATGACTCTCTGCGAACACATGGGCATGGTCGACATAGTTCAATACGCTTCACACGAGGTGTTGGCCCTTCGCCCTGCCTCTTGCCCGCCGTGGGCGACGCCCATGGAGGCAGCTCATCGCCAATGGTTTGAGGTACATCTCCCCGCCGTCACCTTCGACGCAACGGCCGTGCAGAGGGACGCGTCCTGGGTGCCCTCCAATACTAGCTTGGCGCTCATCGCGCCCGAGTGGGTCTTCGCCCATGCTCACTTCGAGTGCGTGGCCGAACATGAATTGCCGCCCTCCCTCAGCGTGGGGCCAGGGATTAGGCCTAAGGATGCGACTCTGCCGCTGATTCGGCCGCAGGCGCAAGACCGCGACGGCTTTCATATCCCGCTGCTGCGTTTTCCTATCGACACGCTACCCGCACCGGGTAAATGTGTGCATGTCTACACCTTTCGCAGCCCGCGGCGTGCTGACCACAGCGCGGCTCGCGTCGCAGCGCAGCTCCGTGGTCGTTGGGGTGAGCGCACGGCGGCAGCCGCGCCATCTGTGGCACAGCAGAACGCCTGGTGGCGCCAGCCGCCCCAGGGTCGGGCAGAGCAGCTGCCGAAGCGGTCTCGGTCAACCCAGCCGCAGGCGTCACCGCGCAGCATGCACGCGGCCGCTACTTGGGAAGCAGCTGTATCCGCGGAAAGGGAGCGAGCTCTGCACGACGGCCCCGACCCGCGCGCTCTTCGCGCGACAGGGTCTGCCATTCCGAAATTGGCTTCTCTGCGGGTGGGGGCGTCGGCAGCGGGTGAAGGCAGTCATCCTGTCGACCCAGAGTTGCACCGGCCCCCGGCGCGCGTCCCTACTCCCCCCACTCCGTTGGGGGCGGGAGGGACCTCCGCGCCTGCCGACATGGAGTGGCTGAAAGAGCCGGAGGACGAGTTCCACACTCGGGCATCCTCCTCGGCCACAGGAGTATTAGCGCCGCGACGGCGCTTTGTGCTCGGCCGAGGATGCCAGCCATTCCGGTCCTGCAGCCGTCACGCACGGTGGCGCTTCTTGGCCTACGACGAGGCGGGGATTCAGGGCTCTTGGAGCGGGCTGTACTCGGCGGCGAGGAACCTCATCGGAATCCACTCCAAGTCCCCGGGAGTCAACCTCCTGTGCGCCGCCGAGACCGTGGACCAGGTTCTGGCCCGCGCAGAGCCTGTCCTGTTCCCCGGCGAGGACGTCCAGCAGGCGCCAGCCGCCTTGTATAACGTTCTTCGCATTATCACCCCGGGTGGCCGGCCTTGAGGCGGAGCTCTTCGCTCTGAACGAGGCCGGCTACATAGATGTTCATCACATCTTGCGGCAGTTGAGGGCCAGGTTCACGGCGGTCATCGGCGACAACGCCCGCCACTACGCCGACACGCCGGCTCTACACCGGCAGGCTGACCGTGGCCACGACGCTGGCGGGGTCTTCCCTCGTGGCGGTGGACGCGGAGGACGAGGCCGAGGCGGGAGTGGCGCGGGGGCCCCCAGCGGGCCCCCTGTCGCGTAGGTGCCAGCGCGCCTGATCGGGAATCGGTCTTTCGTGGTAGCTCTGTGGAACGCTCTGATGTTTGTAGCCGTCATCTGGCCAATCTGATGTTACCACGTTTGTAATATGTAACAATTTCCTGATCCTCTTCGGTGTCCCTCCGCAACAGACCTTTGGTTCTCGAGGGGTCACGGCCCGTCGTTGGGCCCCTCTCGCCTGCCGGCCCTCCAGTCGTTCCCTTTATGCCGAGGGCTCGGCGACGGATAGTGGCTTCCTCGCCCCCTTCTTGACGCCGATCGGCCGTCACGGATGTGCCCGCGCCGGCTCCTCTCTCTACCTTTCCGGTGCCGGCGCCCCCAGCAGCTCCTGACTCAACGTCGCTCTCGGTCCACGTTCCGCCCGGACTCGACGTCCCCGTTTTGGCTCCCGCGGGTTCCGAGGATGAGGAAACCAGCTTTCCTCCCTTTGATCTTCACATCCCCCCAGCGGACGAGTTGCACAGTCCCTCGTCTGACTCCGCCGCACAGCTCCCCGTCTCGTCGATGGAATTTGGGCTGCCCATGCCCCGGCGGGGCCTTGTAGGCGCGGCATCCATGCATAGTTCCTATCTTGCATGGGCTCTTCGCCTAATGCAGGATTTGCAGCGCCGGGACGCGTCGGCCTGTCGCGACGTTCCGGCGACGGTCGCTGAGCTAAAGTCGGTCTTGCTAGACGACTCTCAGTTTGTAGCAAGGAATTGGCACCACTTTGCCGAGCTGTGGGCCCAGTACCTTCGCAGCATCCCTCGTTGGCCTCAACGGCCTAAGGTTATGGCCTGGTTGCGCCATGGCTATGCAATCGACTGGGTCGACCCCGAGTCGCATTGCCAGCAGTTGCATCCGCACTTCAAGGCTAAGCGCCAGGAGGTGCGCGCTATGCTCGCCAAAGTGCTCCCCAAGGACCAGCTCCTCGGTCACCTGACGGGTACGCGTCCTAGTTTCGTGGTGTTCCCCAACAGGACGTCCACCATGACACATGAGGAGTTCACTGACAGCGCCATCCGCAGCCTTGTTGAAACGGGCATGGCGGTACTATTCGACCCCGCTCTCCATGCTCCGGTCCAGGTGGTCAACCCACTTGTTGTGGTCACTCAGCGCACCAAGATGCGACTGGTGATCGACCTGCGGTATGTGAACTCCTTCGTCAGGTATGAACCCGTCCGCTATGAGCAGCTCTCCGACGTGTTAGCCTTCGCTCATCGCGGGTGCTACGCCATAGTGACGGACCTGAAATCCGGGTACCATCACCTGCGTATGCGCCGCTGCGACTGGCCGTTCCTCGCGGTCCATTGGAAGGGTCGCACTCTGCTTTTGACCCATCTCCCATTCGGGTTGGCATCCGCGTGCGCGGCCTTTACTCACATTCAGATTGCGTTTTACCGGCCTCTGCGCCATTTCGGTTCGTTGATGGCCTTCCTCATAGACGACCGGTATGGAGCGGCGGCCAGCCCGCAACTCTGTATGCTCGACGGTCTGATCTTGGCCCTTGTCGGCACAGCCCTGGGGACTTTCTTTTCATCCAAGAAAGCCGACTGGGTGCCGAAGCAAACGCAGCGCTTCCTCGGCTTGGAAGTTGACTCCGGCGTGGGTGCTTTCCGTGTTCCAGCTGACAAACGCAGTTATTTTCTATCGGTTGTGGGTGAACTGCTAGCCGGTGATCGTGTTACTTCCCGTCAGTTGGCTCACATCGCGG